GTGAAAAGAGAAGATCCAGATGTGTTCTGTATACAAGAGACAAAATGTCAAGAGGAAACTCTTCCTAAGGTCCTCAGCTGTAAACAATGCTTTACACTAAGTCTTAGATATTACATGTATATGTTAATTATGTTGAGTGTTTATACTTATAGTAGGCAATGCACTTAGCTGCATCTAGCTAGTTTTTAGACGTGCCACTTATTGACTTAAGATCCGAAAAAATACATGTATTTCATGTAAAAAAAAAATGTGAAAATGCGAAAATGCCCACGATGTGAAAATGTCCATGATTTTGTTCATAATTTTCAGGAAGTAAAATTTTCTGGATATCACACTTACTGGGCACATGCTGAGAATAAAGCCGGCTACAGCGGTGTTGGGTGAGTTTCTAATTGTCTGATTAGTTTACATTCATGCACAATTCAGAAATACTGTATTTCCAACAGCAGGTCTCTGACTTGATCCTCAAATGATAAACATTTTATTGGCAAAGTCTTTTCAGAAAGATTGCAGACAGGTTTTTGTGCTGGCCAACCATCCATGCACTAATACACATTCAAAGACTCAGTCAGAAGAAAAATATTATATCATTGTGATCAATGCAGCTACAGTTTTTAAGTAATTTATATGCAAGTGTTATACAGTTTATATGCACATTCCATGTGCCAGACAGTCTCCGTGAAGTTTAAATACATTATATCTAATATCTTTCTTTTTCAGACTTTGCAGTAAGACAAAGCCTATAAAAGTAACATATGGCATAGGTAAGAATATAAAATAGTGCACAAGTCATTGTTATACAATCATGCAATTCAGTCTACATGTCTGCCATGGCTTGCTGATGTTTGTTACATAGATGTACATGGGTTTAAGTTGTCAATCAACCAGTTTCTAAGCTGTTACATATAAATGTACTTTAGTTAACAGGGCTGTCATTAAGTTTTGATTGACCTGTTGCCTTGATCTTCACACCTGTAACACATTTGTTACTTTATGAGTGAATTGTATCAACCACAGCCAAGTTCACCCGTAACAACAAAGGTCCATCAAGCATACTCAGCTGTACCAGGTGCTACGTGTTATGACCCTTGACAGCCCTGATTAAGTACCCTCACTGAGACTGCATTCAAGTGAAGAGACTCATGCCAAAGACTGATAGAAGCTTGTTCTGATCACTCTAGATAGAAGTAATTGAAAAGGAGTATTGATAGTCCTCCTGGCCGTTGTTACAATAATTTTTATCACAATAAATCATTATTTTTTTCAGCACTCTTTATGGTTTTTTTACCCAGTTACTGTTCATCTCAAGCTTAATACATGTGCATCCAGCCATTTGTAACTTGCGAATGAGATGTCCTTTAAGTTTGATTTTACCTATTTATCAAGTTTGACATAATACTTTTGGGTGTTTGATGTACATTGTATGATATCTTTGCAGGTATTTCAGAGCATGACAATGAAGGACGAGTAATAACAGCTGAATTTGATGACTTCTATTTAGTAACAGCCTGTAAGTGCCAAGGGCTTAAAGCAATTTGGATTGATACACCACGGCTCTCAACAACACAAGGAATTTTCTGCATAGCTATTAGCAAGTATCTGATCTACACTTAGAGGGAGTTAGGGGGAGAGATAGAAAAGGACTTCTTTCAATGATTCTTGGGAGCTATGAAAAAGCTAGAAGAAACCTCCGATGAACTCTAAAGAAGATATCCACATTCAGTAATTGATGTTTAAAAGTACATTTTATTTCATTATTTTAGGCCGCTTAGAAACTTTTTGGCAACTAAATGTCTACACTGTTTGTTTTTAGATGTTCCTAATTCAGGACGTGGACTTCCCAGGTAACCCTGACTACAAGATTTTTATTTTAATCGTTGATGTTATTGTTGTTGTTGTTATGTCTGTTTTTAGTATAAATGATTTAATCACGAGACATTGTTAAGCCCAGTTTTTACAACATTTGATGCTGGTGTTGAGGTGACAATATACAGCTGCAATCCCAAAATATAACTCGTACAGGGAGGGAGAGGGGGAAACTGGAAGCCCTTTGAATGTCTGCCATGCAGGCTACTTTTGTTCCATGTTCAAGATATGAATTCCCACTACTGATTTTGACATATTTCTTTTAGTTCTAGTTCTGCGAATTTGTTGGTTTATCGTCATAATGTAACCTCAGTATTACTGGTAAATGTGTTCAGGGCTCTCCGTACGCATTGCTGACCTATGATACTTGTTTCCTAAGTTTGGCAAATATTAGTTGCTTTGGTTTGCTCTAGTTAAAGTTTCTAAACATAGTATTTTCTATCTTTATTATTATTCTTTTTTTTTAACTAAAGGCTTGGCTATCGACAGGGATGGGACAAAGACTTTACAGAATACCTGAAGACCCTTGACAAAAAGAAACCAGTTATTCTGTGCGGTGACCTTAATGTAGCTCACAAAGAAATAGGTATGTAGACAAAGTTACCCTTTTGGAAAGAGAAACTACGTTGCCCGTTTATGTACGAACGCGTGACTGTTAAGACTGTCACCTGACTGTCACGTGACATTTCCAAAAAGCAATGATATATAGATTTAGGCCAGCCTAAAAGCGTAGCTCCTGGGCCGGGTTGTTCAAAGCCCGATTAAGCTAACCCAGAAAAAGGTAGAATTTTGATTT